ATGTCTAACTAGGTTAAATTTCTAGTAAATCTATGGTGTTGCACATGGACTAGAGGCCACCTGTGGTACTGCAGCTTAAATACACAGGGACTAGAGGCCACCTCTGGTACTGCAGCTTAAATCCACATGGACTAGAGGCCACCTCTGGTACTGCAGCTTAAATCCACATGGACTAGAGGCCACCTGTGGTACTGCAGCTTAAATCCACAGGGACTAGAGTAAGTAAGTAAGTAGTAAGTAATCATTTATATACCGCCTTTTCACTGCAGATCTGAGGCTATATCCACACGAAGACAAAACGCTTATAATTTCAGAAACTTTTTCTGTAAACACGGAGTTAGCTCAGTAAATGTGTAAATGCCCAAACTTCCGTGACGGGAACTGGGCATGCGCGGAATTTTGTAAACAGACAACATGGCGAGTGGGCGAGCTGGTACTACATTAGTATGGACGGACGATGAGGTTGAACTGTTGCTTCGGGTCGCACTGGATTACAAAACCAACATATTTGTTGCTACATTGTTGTTGTCATTATTTTCTGAGTGCGGCGCATGCGTGCTTTAACAAGAGGCGGGGCGATGACGCAAGCGTCTCAGATACATTGCGGAGAGGCAGTAACCACGGAGCGGCATATACGGAGTTTTGAAATCTTTCCACTCTGGGACCTAGTTTCAAAAATATTCGTTTACACCCCCCCAAAACGCCGGCCTCGTATGGACGATACACTGGATTGATAAAGTATTTTTGCGTTTAGGCCTGAGCTTGACTTCGTGTGGACAGGGCCTGAGTCTCAAAGCGGTTTACAATTGTTAATTTGGGCATTTGTCCTCTCACTCCACACAGAGATGGGAGCTGGGTCACCAGTACAGGAGGCACATGCCAGAACTATTGTACATATTTTTTGCGGTAGGGGAAACCGGAGTACCCGGAGGAAACCTACGCAGACACGGGGAGAACATGCAAACTCCACTCAGAAAGGCCCTGGTCAGACCGGGATTCGAACCCAGGACCTTCTTGCTGAGAGGCAAGAGTGCTATCCACTCAGCCACCGTGCCGCCCAGAGGCCACCTGTGGTACTGCAGCTTAAACCCACATGGACTAAGAAGGTCCTTTATTCGTCCCACAATGGGGAAATTTCAGTTTGATGCATACACATATAGTACATACATATATACACATACACATCAAGGCATGCAGCAAACATCTTATCCGCGCTCCTTATAGGCTAAGTGGGTTAAGTGTCTTGCCCAAGGACACAACAACAGCAGACATCAGTGGGAGTCGGTGAAGGTCCCATGGTGGGCTCGAACCCACGACCTTTGGGCCCAAAGGCCAATGCTCTACCAACTGAGCTACTGTCGCCCGAGGCCACCTGACTAGAGGCCACCTGTGGTACTGCAGCTTAAATCCACATGGCTGTAGTGAGATTTTCCCATAGATCTCAGTGTGAACTAAAACAGCTCGTCTGCCGCTGACACAGAACCTACAGATTCCACAAATGTGGATTTTCTGTGGATTTTAGTCTCTTTTCGTCCTTAACATTTTTTGTTTGAACTCCATCAGTTTTCTATAAATCTATAAATTTGTGCCACAAACTCTGCTCGCGCTCGTCTCACTCGAGCTCTGATTGGTCAGAACGCTCACATGGTCCTGCAGAATCACTGCACACGTACAGAACTCTGCTGCTGATGGGACGTCCATAGTGCGAGCCTGAGCCAATGAGCCCAGGCCTTGGGTTTGGACAAATATTGTGCTATATTTACTTTCCATGTCAAAGGCACATACAGCTGCTTTAAACTGGGTCATCCTCCCCGATGGACCAATGCCTTTTTATGTTTTTATCATGTTGGATTCTCTGCGTTGGAATGTGTTTGAAATAACCGCCGTTGTGATTTTGGGCTCTACATGAATTAAATTGATCTGACCCAGGCTTATTTAGCGTAAATACAGGTACAACACCTCCTGTGGACTCACCACCTGCAGAGGGTCAGTGAGGGGCTGGTGCTATGAGACTTGGGTGGCATCTCTGACTGCCACCCCCCTGACCCAGAAATGGATTAAAGGGTAGAAAATGGATGGATGGACAGGTACAACGATTATCAGACGCCCAAGACCCAGTCCAACCCGTGCTTTCGTCTAACCGTGTTTCCGGTCATGCATTAACATCCCAGAGCTAATCGTTTACCGCGCCTGCCGCTAACGAGGGGCCAAACCGCCGCCCTGATCGTTTACCGCACCTGCCGCTAACGAGGGGCCAAACCGCCGCCCTGATCGTTTACCGCACCTGCCGCTAACGAGGGGCCAAACCGCCGCCCTGATCGTTTACCGCACCTGCCGCTAACGAGGGGCCAAACCGCCGCCCTGATCGTTTACCGCACCTGCCGCTAACGAGGGGCCAAACCGCCGCCCTGATCGTTTACCGCACCTGCCGCTAACGAGGGGCCAAACCGCCGCCTTGATCGTTTACCGCACCTGCCGCTAACGAGGGGCCAAACCGCCGCCCTGATTGTTTACCGCACCTGCCGCTAACGAGGGGCCAAACCGCCGCCCTGGGGTAATGCTCGGTCACTCCCCGGGCATCAGCGCGTGCAGGACACAAACCCTCAGCTAGCATAAACGCGTCGGTCTCACCTTTTCTTCCCTTCTTCTAAACGCATGTATTTATAGATTCTTTTGCAAAACACTGCCTCGGTTTCAAACTACAGCCGGCGTCCGTCTGGGGAGAAGTATTGGCTCCAAGGTAATGTCAAAATGTCAGAACAGTTGTTAACAAAACGTAAGAAACCCAAAGTTTATAAAGGGATGTTTCTGAACGTTTGTGCGCTCAAAGCTGTGGTTAACTCGTTGAGATCCACCAAATAGTTTTCAATATTTGGTAAATTCTTTTCAAATGCAGCGGTTTTCATGAAAGAAACCTTTATGGAAACCTGCCTTTCCACTGATTGTGCTGTAGCTTTAGCCGTGACAGTAGAGTCCTTGGCTGTTGTGGGTTATGAACTCCCCTGAGATCTTTTATCTGAAATACATTGGAATCATCTTTCATTTTGATCATTTTAAACATACAATACCAACTCTCAGACTCAGACATGAAGATTTTATTTAGATTTAATTTCCTGAAAGTTCACCCGCTAGTCACAGACGGCCGTGAAGTGAAAGCAAAGTTATTCATGATTATGTTATTTATTTAAAATTGAAAACCTTTAAGACTTTTCTAACCACAAAACCTGACACATTGTGCAAAAGTTCAAGATGTTCTAATAGTTTAGAGAGAAACCAGGGAGAGTAGAGCCGTCCCGAGCCGGGCCAGTGGAAACCATCTCACCTCACTAACCCTGACCCTCACATTTGTAAAGGACTAATAAGACTGAAGGTGAACTTAACAATGAGGACAAAGGTTCGTAACGACCTCGTGGAGCAGGCGGCGGCGGCTGAATGATGATGTCGCCCGTGTGAGGTCTTCCGTGGACATTGGGCGACGTTGCATCATGTTCTGTGGCGACAGCAGAAAGTCTGTAAAGTGCTGAGGCTGTGGTCGCTGCAACTCTGGAAACTACGTTTTCAAGTTAGATCCATTTTTAATACTGTCTTTTTAAGCTACATGTTGTTAGAAAACAGTCTTTTACTGACTACACTGCAAAATGTGTGTCAAATTGGTTAAATTTGGCCAAAAGTATCTTTCTTTAAGCACATTATGACTGCGGGACAAAAACGTTTATCTTGTTTTAAAAAGAAATGTCTCCTTTGGAATGACAGCCTGTAAAGAGACTAAATGTCTTTGTCCCGTTAGTAATCAAGCAGTTATTACCTCATATTTAATCATTTTTTGCAGTGTGTGAGCTGATTGGCTGCAGGAATACTGATCTAAAGCAGTGTTCCACGACCTTTTTGAGCCGTGGCACACTTTTCATTCTTCATTAGGCCACACCACCAGCTTTAATATGGGTTAGGCCCAAAAGTCTGGACTTCAGGCTGAAATGAACAAAGAAGATAAACTTGTGCTCCTACTTCTTATGGGTTTGGAGAAGAATGTTTGTGTATAAAAAATCCAATATTCTCATTATATCTTTTCTTTGTGTGTGTGTGTGTGTGTGTACTACAATATCACACAACCACTAGTTACTTATTTAAAGAAAACTTTTGTGGCTTCTGTGCGGTGATACGTTGAGAGGACTTTCACGGTCTTTCCATAGCCCTTGGTCTCAGTCTGGACTAGGTCTGGTCCTCGGTGGTCCAAAGCTGGTTTTGAGCCTTGCGTCTGGTCTTGATCCTGGTTGTGGTCTGCTCCTGGTCCTCAGTGCTGTGTCCTCTGCAGCTGTATGCACGGCTTTTGACAGCTGCAGTAGCTCAGACCCACAGGTGTGAGATATCCAACTTCATATGGTCACATGGTCAAAATGTGAGTCCAAATAAAAGTTTAAGTTTAAAGTTTTTCTGTTGACATAAAAAAAATCTCTGTCATAAAAACACTTCTTGGTTTAAGTCTAAGAAAGATTTAGAAACGATAAATCAATTACCTGCCGCTTCTTGCATCTCAGAAAGAGGGTCGCAGGTTCGAATCCCGATCAGAACAGGGCCTTTCAGAGGGGAGTTTGCATGTTCTCCCTGCGTCTCCTGTTTCCCCACTGAAAACACTTGGGATGATCCTGCAGGGTCCGATTCAAATAAAAAAAGAAACACAATAGAAGTTGCAGACACCACCTTTAATTTAAGTTTAAGAGGTATCGAACACAGGGACAAAAACTACAACAAAACTTTAACAATTCACCGCGTTCCCACCGACTCTGTCTTCGCCTTCATCACAAGTGCGGCGGCGGCTGTAATATTGTTATGTCTCGCCGTCTCTCTTTCCCGGTGAAGCCCCCTAATGACCGCGCAGAGCTGTCCAGCCGTCACTTCAGCGTGCGCTCCGTAATTCCTTCCCCCCCTCACTTCCTCTCCTCCATTACCGCACACGAAAAGCCGAGCTGATAATTGCCCTCGCTCCTGTGCTCTCTCCTCAGCGGTCCCCCTGGGCCTGATCGTGGTTCCCGGGGACAGCGACCTGGAGACGTGCCGCCATCACATCCAGAGACTGCAGGAGGTAAGGCGGGGGCTAGGGGCGGGGGGTGAGGGGAGGGGGGCGGGGCTCAAAGTAAACTATAAAACTACTTTGTGTTTCCATAAGTACCTTTGTGTTTCCATAAGTACCTTTGTGTCTCCATAAGTACCTTTGTGTTACAGTACACAGGTACTTACGCTGAGTAATTACACTTCTAAAACTAAAGGCCGTCAAATTGACTGCTCTGAGAGTTCTAGTTTTATTTGGGGATTTTTGGGGATTTTACAAGGGTTTTTAAAGGGGAAGTGGAGTTTGCATGTTCTCCCCGTGCCTGCGTAGGTTTCCTCCGGGTGCTCCGGTTTCCACTACCACTAAAAACATGCTCAGGTTAAATCCTCCAGCTCTGGTCCTGAGCCAGAGCATCAACATCTGGAGATGGTTCCCAGGCGCTGTTACTACGGCGACCACTGCTCCTGACGCAAGCCTTAGTGGCATTAGGATGGGTCAAATGCAGAGGAGGAATTACCGTGTGTTTAAACGTGTGACATCATTAGGAAAAAGTAAACGAACTTCTAAACTGACACAATCTCATTTATAATGTTGTTTGGATGGGGAGATTTCACACACACTAACGCACACACACACACACACGAACACACACAGACACACACATAATTAGCAGCAGGTCTTGACCCTGGCTCCATAACTCCGCTGCTCTTCGTCCAAACAAATCAAATACGTTTGAAGGAAACTCGTTGAAGACGCCAATTAACAAAGTTCACGCTTCATTAAAGTCCTGATTCTGTTAAGCCCCGTTTCCACCAGCCCTACTTGGTCCAAACCAGTGGGGGTGGGTCCCGGCTCAAAAGTGTCCAAAATGACGTGCGCTGACATGCTGCAATACCACGCCGGGCCTGTGGGGGTGGACCCAGAAGTAGAATTAGCCAATGCTAACATATAGCATTAGCAGACCTCTGGAAAACGTTTTTACAGGATGGACCAAAAGTTGTCTCTTGGCCCAAAGCTCCGTTCCACATGTGTGTCAATGCTGAGTGTTCTGGACCACTCTAGTTTAGTCGCTGTGGACTTTAGAAGTCTCTCGTTTAAATGAATTAAGCTCGTGCAGTTGACGCATGCGCAGATGCGTTTTTTCACAATTTTCTTGTGGGCGGGACCACTCGCGGCCATTTTGGATAGCTCCAGTAGAGCACATTTTTTGGCCCATTAGTTAGAACGGCGGAGGTAGGCGTGACTCTGTCCGTTAATATATACAGTCTATGGTCCAAACCCTCTCTGTGGGTCCCTCTTGACCTGGTTCTGTCCAGACCGAGCTGGTTCTGGTGAGCGTTATAGCCGGCAGTGATTGGCCAGAGCGGCGTGGAGCCACGGTTACCAAGGAATATCCACGGGTTTGTTGTGTTTAGGTTGCTAGGACACGCTAGACTAGAGTAGAGGAGCGCAGAGTGTGTGTTTGTGCAGCGCCTGGAGGCTAACCACTCTGCCGCAGGCCGTAATGGTGGCATCTATATATTTCCCAACATTTTAGTCATTTTTCTTTTATACAAACGTCTTCTTTCTGTCTCTCTTTCACTGGGATGTACAAGGTTTGGGTCAATGCAACAGCGCGTAGCAAAGTTAGACTAATGAAACATGACCTATGACACGCACAGTAACTTTTTGTCGATAGAAAAGACTTGGGCTTGGTTTTGTAAATACATATTTTGAACGTGGTTAATAAGAATGTTAATAATTCTCAATAGAAAGGCTTTTTAAAATGAGGGTTAGCTAAACAAACTGGAGCTGTCTGCGAGCTGGACTTTAATAATTTCCATCTCCATATATAGAAGGCCTCGAGTGGGCAGTCGAGGGAGGGTGGTGGGGGGATGGTGGTGGGGGGATGGTGGTGGAGTGGGGGGATGGTGGTGGAGTGGGGGGATGGTGGTGGAGTGGGGGGGTGGTGGTGGGGGGGGGGGGTAGACAGGTTGTCGGCGGTCTCGGTGGACCCGGCAGTGGGTCTGGTCACGCTCGGCTTCCCCCTCCTCTACATCACCTCCGCATCTCCACAAAGTCTGTAGAAATGTAGAACAGCAGCCGTGAGTTTAAAATCCTCCTCGATCCACATTAAAGGGTCTGAAATGTCACCTGAGGGAGGGGCGTGTTATTAAAAGAGACATATGACGGCACAAACCAAGACCGAAACAATCACACGAGGCATTAGTATAAGTAAGATAAGATAATAAAGATAAAATCCCACAGTTGTACACACAGCTACCTGGATTTGAACATTTTCAGTAAGACTGTTCCAGATTTTAGCTGCATAAATCTGAAACACTGCCTCTTCATGTTTAGTCCTGACTCTGGGACCAGCAGGAGCCCATTCCCTGTGCTCCCTCAGAGTCCCTGCAGGAGGCCAGTCCCTGTGCTCCTCAGAGTCCCAGCAGGAGGCCAGTCCCTGTGCTCCTCAGAGTCCCAGCAGGAGGCCAGTCCCTGTGCTCCTCAGAGTCCCAGCAGGAGCCCAGTCCCTGTGCTCCTCAGAGTCCCAGCAGGAGGCCAGTCCCTGTGCTCCTCAGAGTCCCAGCAGGAGGCCAGTCCCTGTGCTCCTCAGAGTCCCAGCAGGAGCCCAGTCCCTGTGCTCCTCAGAGTCCTAACAGGAGGCCAGTCCCTGTGCTCCTCAGAGTCCCAGCAGGAGGCCAGTCCCTGTGCTCCTCAGAGTCCCAGCAGGAGGCCAGTCCCTGTGCTCCTCAGAGTCCCAGCAGGAGGCCAGTCCCTGTGCTCCTCAGAGTCCCAGCAGGAGGCCAGTCCCTGTGCTCCTCAGAGTCCCAGCAGGAGGCCAGTCCCTGTGCTCCTCAGAGTCCCAGCAGGAGGCCAGTCCCTGTGCTCCTCAGAGTCCCAGCAGGAGGCCAGTCCCTGTGCTCCTCAGAGTCCCAGCAGGAGGCCAGTCCCTGTGCTCCTCAGAGTCCCAGCAGGAGGCCAGTCCCTGTGCTCCTCAGAGTCCCAGCAGGAGGCCAGTCCCTGTGCTCCTCAGAGTCCCAGCAGGAGGCCAGTCCCTGTGATCCTCAGAGTCCCAGTTTTTCCGTTGCCTACTGCACATACAGTATATACAGACAGTATACAGTTTACACAGTATAAACAGTTTACACTGTGTAAGTAATATACACATGTATTAATATTCTACCAGAAGTTTACAATATAAATGCTACGAACATATAAATCCACATTTGTCTGAATTCTTTTGGAGTGAGTTTCAGACTGAGCTGTTGCTTTGTCGCCTCGAGTCTTGACACATTTAAACCATTTGAGAGTCCTCTGTTATTGTGGGGTCGGCGCCCAGGGTCCCACAGCCCACATTCACCACGAGAACCAAAACAAGGTGACTTTGAACAACATTCCACATACACTTTATAGACGTTGGAGTAACAAGAGCTCCGACATATTATTACTTTCATCAGACGACATTGTTATGGACTGAAGGCGAGGCAGGAATTGACTTTTCTGTTTACAAGGAAATGTATCGTGCTTTAGGAAAGAAGAGGCACCATTAAAGCTTTACTAAACACAAAAAATACATCAATATTTGAAATGCAGTTCTCGCTAAAACGCTGTTCACCTTTCGTGGCCTCGTTGTTTCGCAAAATATTTTCTGTTTAATGTGGCATGTTTTTTTACAGTGTACTAAATATAATCTCATGCTCCAACATCATAAACAACATGTATCCGCTAGCTAACATGACAGTTGCCTTCATTTAAAAAGTCAGAAGAAGTCGTTTGCACGTCTGTGATTAGTTCAAAGGACTACCGCAGTCTCTCTCTCTGGTCTCTCTCTGGTCTCTCTCTCTGGTCTTTCTCTGGTCTATCTCTGGTCTCTCTCTGGTCTCTCTCTGGTCTCTCTCTGGTGTCTCTCTCTGGTCTCTCTCTGGTCTCTCTCTGGTGTCTCTCTCTGGTCTCTCTCTGGTCTCTCTCTGGTCTCTCTCTGGTGTCTCTCTCTGGTCTCTCTCTGGTGTCTCTCTCTGGTCTCTCTCTGGTCTCTCTCTGGTCTCTCTCTGGTCTCTCTCTGGGGTCTCTCTCTGGTCTCTCTCTGGTCTCTCTCTAGTCTGTCTTGTCTCTCTGGTCTACCTTTGTTTTTGTTTTTACTAATTTTTCTGGCAGTTTTCTAATTTGGGGAAACCTCTTTTCTCTGGTGGAGCATTGGGAGTTACAGCTTTGTTTCCCCTTGACACTTGTTTCCTCAGATATTACTTGATATTATTTGAAAGTCCGAAACAAACTGACTTTCAATCTTGAAAAATAAAATGTTTTCCATTGCAATTGCATTGATTTGTAGAAACAGGAAGTGTGCTGGCAGCTGCAGGAAGCACACACTGGACACATGGTTCAATATCCAACCAGAAAACTGCTGATGATATATAATCTACAGTAGGGGTGGACGATATGGCCTAAAATTCATATTGCGGTATAATTTGGTGTGTCAATTTCAATATAGGTCTAGCAGGTTCTTGCATAAAATAGTCAAGATTGTTATTTATTTATATATTAGAATCAAATATTATTATTTTGAAAATCAGCTGTGAGACAAATGTTGTAACATACATTATTTATGTGTGTTACAGTAAAGACCATTTACTGTAAAAGCAATTAAAAAAAAGAAAAACATATGTATTCATTTATAATATAAAAAAACTCACAAACGTTGAAATCAAAGTCTGTAGGAGTTAGACATGGACATTATTTATAGTGTCTGAGAGTTTTGTGCAGGTACATGACTTCAGTAAAAGCTATTGTTCGTTTACAAAGCTGGTCTTGACATTTGTTGACGCTCCCTAAGCGCTTTTCTCTGCACTTGCAGTGAACTGGATTTATGTTCATTAAAACAGCACATTGGATTTGAACAATTCATGTAAATGGTCATTTTGGCACAATTAACTTTGTTTAACAAGTAGCTTTCGTGAGATATTGACCGCGGAGGTTCAAATCTGACGCTAACTTTCCCAAACTTCTGAATGTGATGATGCTGCGGACATGGCACACGCATGGATCTTTTTTGG